TTAAAAAAAATCCTTTTATATAATACTGGATCTATAAGAGGTCACTTTATTGATACACTACTGACATTAACATGTTTGTTTGTAGTTTGTTTTTGTTTTTTTTCAATAATGTGAAATGTGGTTATACTGGGCCCCCATATGCGTTTCCTAACATTGCTTGAATAAGTTGGAGAAGAAGAGGGGAGAGTAGGGCCTCAGTGCATTACGCTGCCCAGCCCCCCCCCCCGATGCTGTAAAGATGGCCCTGGCGTGTATCCTTGCTTACAAGTAATCCCATTCGGTGCTGGAAGCAGATTAGAAGAAAGATTTTTTCACTACTTTGTTGGAGAAGAAGAGGGGAGAGTAGGGCCTCAGTGCATTACGCTGCCCAGCCCCCCCCCCCGATGCTGTAAAGATGGCCCTGGCGTGTATGCTTGATTACAAGTAATCCCATTCGTTGCTGGAAGTAGATTAGAAGAAAGATTTATTCACTACTTTATTTTCTTTGGCGCCATCCACTTTCTTTTCATCAAATCTTTTTTTTTTTAATAACCATATCATAGTTTCAATCACTTCACAAATGAAACTTCAGGTATCTGGAAGTCAGAGGGTTACCGGAAATTTGATTGAAAGAAAGTTCGTCGACGGTAAATTGATCGACGGAAATTTGATCGAACGGAAATTTGTTCGAATCGGTTTTTTTTTCAGTTCACACTTTAAAGTTTTCGTCAAATTTCTTTTTAAAGACACTATACTGTATATTAAAACAAAATAGTGCGTTCAAAAAGAAATTTGAAGCAAAGTTTTAATGTAAAAACTGAAAAAAAATGATTCGACCAAATTTCTGTTCGATCAAATTACCGTCGATCAATTTACCGTCGACGATACTGCGTTCGATCAAATTTCCGGATACGAGTCAGAGAATAACAACTTCTCGTCCTCTATGAACGTGATTGCAATTCCCTCTTAAAATATATTACGTAACTTAAACGAGATTTTTAATTTCCTTTGATAAAAACTTTTACAAGCTTAATAGTACATTTTAAGATAATATTAAACTCTTAAAAATCCAATTAGGACTTAAAACTGTCATGTACGCTTAAAAATTGACACATCACAACAGTTCCACTGGGTTGTGTAGTTAAACGTACTATTCATTAAGTTGTTTTGCTCAAAAGTTGGGCGAATCAGGAAATTCACCCACAGCATTTCAGTTATTGCAGTTTTTATGTGGTTGAATTGCAATATGTCTGTGATTGTATTTCAATCCATTTTTCTGTTGCTGTACCGCATTTATATGTGGCTGTATTGCAATCTGTCTGTGTTTGCATTGCATTTTGTCTGCGGTTGCATAGCAACTGGTCTGTGTTTGTATTACAATCTGTATGTGCATGGTGTCAACCAACGCTTCCATCTGGGTGGCAGAATAATGTATTTCCCAGTGATTATTGATTTGCGAGACGAGCCATGCTGTAAGCTTTGTCCAAACAGCCCAACCCTGGCTTCTAGACAAATTAGTAGATTAGCAATCGCACCCCCTGAAGGAGAGTCCCTCAAGTCATTCGGACATTTTGTTTTCCCCCCATGAAACTGCATCAATGGAATTATCTGCTAGCCTGATGCAGGATTCTGGCTGAGTGATGACGTCAAAGGAAGGTCACATGGTACATAACCCTGTCTCATAATGCGTTGGTGCTACAACGTGCCCACATAGTTGTGGCCTCTTCTGTGTCTCAACTTTTTACCGCAAAAAAATTAATTAATTATCTTTTAACATCAATTTAGTACGTAATCACGTGACATTATTGCCCATAATGTCTTTACTAGTGTCATGTAATGCAGATGTGTCTGCCCTTTTGCCTCCTGAGAACCTCACTTTTATTTATCCAACCTCCGAGGTGTTCACAAACACTTTGTGTGATCCGTGAATTTTCGTTCATATTTGTTCTATAAAAAATATATACTCATTATGTTACCCAAGACGCTATGTTGCAATCCTATACGTGTAGGATAATTACTCTGTTACGGTCAGGTATTTATGCAACACAGGACTTAAAGCTGTGATTAATTAGGACGATGGATAACACAAAGGGGCGGTAAAAAAATATGTTGTTTTTTTTTTATTGGTACATCATGAGATAAATGCATGGTTATTCCCAGGGCCGGCGCTAGGAGGGTGCGAGACTTTGAGCAATTTGAATTTGGCGGGGCCGTTGACGTTACATATTCCGCCGATAGGATATTAAGACACGTTATAGTCGTACTGGGGCCTTGCTGGTCATAGGGCTTGGGTGTATTATAAATATATTATTGCAACGTGCGGGGCCCCGCAAACGCAGGGCCTTGGGCGGTGGCCCACTTTGCCATCCCCTAGCGCCGGCCCTGGTTATTTCCCTTAATTTAAATTATGCATCTATTGTTGTAAAGTAATTAGAATCTATTTATAAATCGAAAAAAAAAAAAAGAAAAAAAAAAGAAGATTAATCAGTGTCTTCAGCATCTAAATACAGTAGCAGAAGCATTCTTATGAAAATTCCAGTTACAGACGGTAAACGGAGGGCCTTGGGCGGTGGCCCACTTGGCCATCCCCTAGCGCCGGCCCTGGTTATTTCCCTTAATTTAAATTATGCATCTATTGTTGTAAAGTAATTAGAATCTATTTATAAATCGAAAAAAAAAAAAGAAAAAAAAAAGAAGATTAATCAGTGTCTTCAGCATCTAAATACAGTAGCAGAAGCATTCTTATGAAAATTCCAGTTACAGACGGGTCCATAACTTGGCTGAAAACAATACCGCCATACCTTTATACATGTTATAGACTGTATTGTACATGAGACCAAACCAGGGACTATTATACATGAGAACAAACCAGAGACTATTGTACATGAGACCAAACCAGAGACTATTGTACATGAGACCAAACCGGAGCCTATTGTACATGAGACCAATCTAAAGACTATTCTACATGAGACCAAACTGGAGACTATTTTGTACATGAGACCAAACCAGAAACCACTGTACATGAGATCAAAGTGTTTTTGTTTTATACTTGAAAAATGGTTACTCCTCAACCGTAAACCCACTCATAGCACAGGCCGTATAGCACTCGGTTGCTGGGACCACAAGTCGCAGTACAGGCCGTGTAGCATTCAGCTGCTGGGACCACAGGTATCAGTACAGGCCGTGTAGCACTCAGCTGCTGGGACCACAAGTCTCAGTACAGGACCACGAGTCTACTTCTATTTCAATGTCAATCATCTCTACTCCCACAGGTGCTCAACTACTGCCCTAAAGACATGAAGGCTGACCTCTGCGTCCACCTGAACCGCAAAGTGTTCCTCGAGCACCCCGCCTTCCGCCTGGCCAGCGATGGGTGTCTCCGCGCCCTGGCCATGCATTTCAACATGACCCACAGCGCCCCGGGCGATCTCATCTTTCATCAGGGGGAGAGCCTGGACGCCCTGTGCTTCGTCGTGTCCGGGTCGCTTGAGGTGATACAGGACGAAGAGGTTGTTGCCATACTGAGTAAGTAAGCCGTTGTCCTTGATACTACATGAAATAGTTTCGAGAGAAAATGATGGCTGCCTTGCGAATTTTTGTTTTATCTCGTATAGTATATATATTTTGCTTCTTGTGTGACTGCTTCCATTTCTGGATAGCGCGCAAAATATAATTCCCCATAACCACGCTAAATGATGTTTTTGTCTTAAAATAACGCAACTTCGTTTGGTGCGTGATATATTTTCTTTTCTTTTCGGAAAATGAAATCGCATAAGTCCAAATATGGAGTAATAAATATTCGGTATTGAAGTAGTTGGGACATCAGAATATTAATATTGTTCATGGACGTAAAATTAAAAGTGTGCAGTGACGTATCATGGGGGGAAAGGGGTGTAGCGAAAATTGGGATTCTTAAGTGGGCGTCACTTGAGTTCATGTTTGTCAATTTAGTAGATGGGAAGTTCACGCATTGCTGCCGCCAATGTTTGGCGAGCTTTAGCTAGTCTGTAGCTATTTAGTCTGAGGCTTTATTTCTCTCTCTCTCTCTCTCTCTCTCTCTCCGCTTTCAAGGCAAGGGTGACGTATTTGGCGACAACTTCTGGAAGGAGCCCAGTATAGGACAGTCCACGGCGAATGTCCGAGCACTCACCTACTGCGACCTGCACGCCATCAAGCGTGACCGACTCCTCGAGGTCTTGGATTTCTACCACGCGTTCGCCAACTCCTTTGCCCGAAACCTGACCTTGACCTATAACCTCAGACATCGGGTAAGTTCTTTTTTTTTTACTTACCATCATCCTACCAACTCACTAGTCTATTGGATGTACTGAACAAAAAGCGTCATTGCTTTAATTTTCGCTTGTTTCGATGGTGTAGACCTAGAGATAAAAGATTATTTTTCTTTTTTTCTGTACGCAGCTTTGGAATGCTATGAGTTAATAATTTCCAAATAAGTCAACATTTTTCAAATGTTATCAATCCACAAAAGGCATGTGGACAACATTGAAATTAAAATAAATGATTTGAGTCATCATTTTCTCTGAAGATGCGTCTTTGTTTTTTGTCTTGTAGAGTTTCATCATATCTTTATTGTCTTCTCATCACAGCTCATCTTCCGTAAAGTCGCTGATGTGAAAAAGGAAAGAGAACTCGCCGAGAAAAGAAAGAACGATCCCCCTTTGGACCTTGCCAACGACCATCCCGTGCGGAAGTTGATATCAAGATTCAGGAAAATCAGTGACTCCAAGCACGACATCAAACAAAACTCGCACGACATTGAGCGCGGAGGGGCGACGTCCTCCTCCAACGCCGACGGGGAGCCGGACAGGCCGCAGAGTGGTGCCAGAATAATCACGGTCTCCGAGAACCCTGACCAGACGCCCAGCAAACCCGCGCCACGGTTAGGGAGTGGCGTCACCTCGAGGTGGGGTAAATTTTTGTCTGGGGCCACAGGAGGCGGGAGTGCGTCGGATCCCGGGTCAGACTCTAAAGGCGACGGTGGTGAGAAGGCGATCCCTCTCAACGATCTGTCGCCGAAAGTCGAGACGAGATCCGGAGAGATGCCGAAGCTGTCAGCCAAACCCATGGCGAAGTGGGGCCGCTTCTTGGCCAAAGCCCAGGAGCCCATTGAAGAGTCTCCTGAGGATGACATGCGGTCGAATTTGAAAAAAACTGATTCCACGGACAGCGGCATATTGCGCAGTGATAATAAGCTAGATCAGATGGAGGTAGACGGGCCTGCTACAGACACCCACCGACCTGTACACACGACTCTGAACATCAACACCATCAACAATCTGACCCGTGAAAGCGCTAGCCCCGGCGGCAGCGGGGCGAACCCATCAGGTGGGGTGGTCCCGGCTCCGCAGTCGGGCGGACTGTCAGCCGCTGAGCAGCACATGCTGACGTCACTGTACGACATCCGGCTGGAAATCAAAGAAGAGATCGACAGCCTCAGACAGAAGATGAACAGGATTGACGAGCACATCACAGAGGTTCTCAGGTTTTTCTCCCCGGCCTCGACGCCTTCCTCGTCCGTCTCGACGTACGCCAGCTCCAAATTCAACTCCCCGTTGAACTTGACCAACTCCAACAGCACGGACCAGTCGCCGAAAAACTCCATCTCCTCATCGCCTCGTCACGGGCCACCGGACGACCCAGCTACCAACCCGACCCAATCGCAGGCGACTCCGATGAATATTTACACCGAGCCCGCCGCCGTCGAAAGCAAAGATCAGCCCCGCAAACAGAGACCTCCCCCGCCATCAGGGTTTCACCAGGCCCGCCAGCCCACGGACAACAAGCGGAGAGTCAGCCGGAGGAAATCGTCACACCGGCGCTCGTCCAAGTCTTCGAACAGTAGCAATGAGAGTCACAAACAGTCGTCCGGGACGCCGGAACCGGTGCCGGGACGGGCTCACGGGGCCGTCCAGGTGGATGTGCCTGAAGATGGGGAGATGACCCCGCTTGAAGATCGCGACCTGGACATGTTATAACACATCTAGGGGGATTGTTTCCGCGCGTGTAAATATTTGGCAATCGTTGCATTATTCGTGGCATGTTTTATAAAAATGACACAAAAATGGTACTAAGTGACAAATCATCTTCCTTGTAAATATTCAGAGTGCACTTTTGTCCTTTTAAAAAAAAATCAATTCATGCGCACACACACACACACACACACACACACACACACACACACACAGGTGTAGAAAGTTGTGCAGTATTTCACTTGAAATAAATGTTACCCAAATGTTTCACAAGTTTGCAGAAGCCTGTGATTTAAAAGTACTTGGAAATGAAGATCTTGGAGAACTACTGGGATATAAAGATAATATAGAACTGCTGGGATATAAAGATACTGGATAACAGGGTTTCTTTTAGCTATATCTCCGGGGCGGGCGGGGAAAGCCAAGTGCCCCCCCCCCCGAGCAAAAATATGTTCAACAATAAACCAACGGCCCCCTCGAAAAATCGGAAGCCCGCCCCCCCCCCCTTACCCCACCGGGGGGGGGGGGGAATTTCTGAAATAATCACTGCTGAATAACTACTGGGATATAAAGATCTGGGAGAACTATTGGGCTATAAAGGTACTGTAGAACTACTGGCATATAAAGATAATATGGAACTACTGTGATATAAAGATATTGGATAACTACAGTGATATAAAGATACTATATATCTACAGGGGTATAAAGATATAAGAAAACGACTGGGATATAAAGATATGAGAGATCTACTGGGCTATAAAGTTATTTGGAGAACTACTGGGTTATAAAGCTCGGTTACCGTAAAAAAAAATTTTGAAAGAAATTTCCGGGTACGATGAAGCTCATACTCATTGACTTACACTTTTCTACAGGATTATGGATCCTGGTCAATAGTTATGGAAGTTGATTAGACCAATTTAAAAAAAAAAAAAAACTTTTTCTATATCATAAAAATTTCTTCATAACTTGGCAGCTTAGTGAATTGTTGTGAAATCAGAAATATGATTATTAACAATTAATTTATCTTGTCCACTGGAGTTAAGGGATTTTGTTTTGGTCGTAGTTCTTTGAATGAATCAAAAAAATAAACACAAACAAAACAAAAATATTACGGGAGAATAACTTATTCACTCACAGCACTGGAGTGTTCTGTGAAAACTTTTCTTTTTTTTTTAATGATGCCGCAAATTTTTATGGTAATTTTTTTTTTTTTCATTTATCCGTAAAGCCATTATTTGCTGACAGTTTGCTGTTGAGTATCTTTCACCGAGCTGAATGTTTTAATTTTTTGATGCCATGAAATAAACCATGCAAACTTGAACATATCTTACCATTAAACTGCATAACTAAAAAAAAAAAAGTACCGAGAAAAACAAATGACGTTGTCGACCTACCCTTGCTGTAGTTATAGTACTACACCCTACGCTGGCGGACAAGGTATCTGCACGTAAAAAAAAAAAAAAAACAAAAATCTACTAATTAAGGCAGCGGTTCTCAACCTGGGGGTCACGAATCCCCTTTTTTTTTGGGGGGGGGGGGGTCGAATGACCATTTCACATTGGGTCACATGAGGCCATCTGAAAACGGGTGTGATCTACGGTTGTGAAGTAGCAACGAAAATAATTTTGTGGTTGGGGGTCACCACAACATGAGGATCTGTATGAAAGGGTCGCGGCAACAGGAAGGTTGAGAACCGCTGAATTCACGGGTCTTCTAGAAAAATTATAGTCATTTCAATTGAGTTGTCAACAAATAGATCGATACATTTTTTATATGATGGCTTTTAAAAACAAAAGTCAATCTCTAACTTATCTGAAACAAGCCGACCCACTCCTTGTTTCACTAAGGCGAGTGGGGTGTTTGGGGGGGGGGGTTTGGGGGGGGGGGGGGTGCGATTGACCTGATTTAAAGAAACCATATTGTAATGGCATGTGACATGTTAAGTCTACGGAGGTTAAAGGGAGTCAGGCATTAATTTCTTTAAAAGTAACGACATCCATAGTCTCGATTTGAAGTTGAAGACAAATACATGTAGAAACAAAGTTGACGGATTCGGTCAATTCTAATTTAACGTATGAAAAGTAAATTGCGTCATGTGCATAGGAATACTCTAATAGTAAAGGGCAATGGTTCATTCTTCATTATGAATCGGTACGATGACCGTAAAACAAACAGTTAGTCCGTTAAAGCACTTACGGGTTTTTTACGAATAATTTAGTTTGTTTATTTATTTTGTAAATGGCTACTGAGCCTTTTTTGTGTGTGTGTGTGTGTGTGTGCGTGTGTGTGTGTGAGTGTGCGTGTGTGCGTGCGCGCCTAGTGTGCACTTTTAAAGTGCACTACCGCGCGGACATGACATTGAAATCAGTGCCGGATTTACGCATCAGCTAAATAAGGTACATCTTTGGGCCTTACCATCTGCCACATAAAGATATTTTTTTCTTTGACATGTTGATGTATTTTAAAACGATAGGGGGCCTCTGGATTCTGTATAGCTTAGGGCCCCAGCAAGTCTGTCGACACTGATTTGAATGTTATATATATATATATAATATATATATATATATATATATATATATATATATATATATATAATATATATATATATTATATATATGGCGAAGCGTGAACTTCCCATCGACTTAAGTTATTGACGAAACGTGAATGAAGTAACGCACTTCATACGAATCCCAGTTAGTGGTAACTTCTGGGAATTTTATTTTGCACGCCTATTTGAGCACAGCGTTACAGACATGCATGCCTACATACCTTGAGTCACAAAATGTTAAACTGTTTCTCTCCGATCATAAATGAACATGTGTAAACCTAATGTTAAGGCAGGGGCAGTGGCGCCGTTTCAACGGTCTCTGTTAGGCGCGCGCTGGCCTGCTTAAAGCAATGATCTGTGAATCACAAAGTCTACTACTGTATGCAATATTTCTTACCATTCCGCGAATGCCCTGTTTAGTCAAATCGCTGTTTCACCCTAAAGAAGAAATGCATCGATAATTATTGTTGTCTGTACTTGCACATTCCATAGTTCAAAAAAGAATTATTTTTCCCCTTGTTTCTCTGTTGTTGTTTTCTTCTTTTTTTTTTTTTTTTTTTGCACATGAATTATAACAATTATACAACAAAAAAAATCTAAAAATATATTTATAAAAAAATGTTTTCCTTTTTTTTTTTTTTTTTTTTTTTTTTTTTTTTTTTTAAAATCCATTTTTTTTTTTTTTTTTTTTTTCCTTTTTTTTTTTTTTTTTTTTTTTTTTTTTTTTTTTTTTTTTTTTTTTTTGCACATGAATTATAACAACTATACAACAACAAAAATCTGAAAATATATGTATCATAAAATGTGTTCCTTTCTTTTTTTGTTTTTGTTTTTGTTTTACATTTCTAAAATGCACTTTCTTTATTTCTTTGAGACGAACCAGATCTGGAAATCGGTGACGCAGCTCATTGTGCCATGTGAGCATCTAGATTTTGATGTGGGCGCTACTTTTCAGATTACAACCCAAGATGTTTTTGAAGTTACTTGTGAGGCGAAGCTATTTTTTTGCTTTCAGCCATGAATGCGAAACTAAAAATATGCAAGACCTTTTAATTTGGTCCCATTAGGCTTGACATAAGATAAAATTATATTTACCTGCTACATATCATACTAAAATTTTTCTCTATTTTTATTCGCCAACCAAGTGTTTTTCCGTAAAATTATACATATTCAAATCAATTGCACCGATGCTTTCAAATGTTTTTAAATACAGGCATTTTATGGACGCTTACATCTTTAGTTTTAGTTTTTTTAAATAGCTTTTTTTTAAAGCCTTCATTTTATTTTATGTATGAGCAATATGCAAAAACTGCTCCACCGTGTTGAAAACGTTGGCTACGTTTCAGCCTCGAATGTTGGATTATACAAGTTGCATGTTACTAATAAGCACAGTGGAACCTCGGATAACGAACTTACTCCGTTCTGAGCCTCCGTTCTTAGACCGAAACGTGCGATAACCGAAATAATTTTCTAGCATTGAAATTAATGCAATTTCAATTATTCAAGCCTTGGAAATATGGATCTTTTGAGTGTTGTTCTGTAATGAAAAATAGATCCTTTTTATCTGAGCACCATGAATCTCACATCCCGATGAATTCATATTCTTGGGAGAAACGTATTCAAAAATACTCTTCTTGCTTTGAAGTCTTCAACTTCGGCAATTGCACTCGATGCTTTGGTCAACAAATAA